GTGGGCAGAATATATAGCAATTCAGTCCGTACCTCACAGGAAACACATTACGTCTCTGCTACAGAGCCCAACCGATTAATGCTGTTTATTGTGAGAGCCTTACTGAGCCAAAACCGTGAGCAAACTGCAGGGTTTTTAATGTCAACTCAGGCGGTATGTATGAGATTCGCTGCCTTCACGAGTTTTAAGATCACGGCCTCATGGGGTGTGATTGTATGGAGTTCGATAGTTATACTATACCACTTATTCTACCTTGAAAATTGAGGCAAAATATCTTACGAAACGTTGATTTATGTCTACCAGATTGTATGACGCCGCATCTCAGAAATCGTCATTTTAATTATATAGGTAGTAAGTATAGTTCAATCGTTCTTTAGAGAGTTTGATTTGTTTCATTCTGGTCCGTNGTGGGCAGAATATATAGCAATTCAGTCCGTACCTCACAGGAAACACATTGCGTCTCCGCTACAGAGCCCAACCGGTTAATGCTGTTTAGGGGAATAACGGCCGTGTATTTTGAGAATCATACGGAACACATATTCCCTGCGAAAAATTCAGTTTTCAAAATTTAAGTCACGTGGTACACATGGTTACCACTGTTCTTTAAAGGATCACGGCGAATACTAACGCACGGTTCTACCGAAAGTAACAAACGCTGCACTGTGAACTGCCATTTGCCGGAGAGTACACCTTCAGGCTGTGTGAAGGATGAAAGACCCCTAGGAACAATGCCTGTCTGTTCGTTTTGGCAAAAAATACTGACAAGAAAGAAAACTGTACAGTCAGACGGGCATTATAAATTGACGGGACAAAGAACAGTACATATTCCACGTCAAGGGTACAAGACTTCTGCCAGAACGTAAAACGCGAACTCAATGTGGAGTACACGAACCTTCTAACCGAATTCCTTGCGATTTTGTACACGTTAATTAGTTGCTGACGCAAATTCTTATTTATTTGTTGTTTATTTAACGACGCTTTCAATAGCTATGAGTACACAACGTCGTACCATAGGATTATTTAATGATAAACTGGTAAGGATATTGAAGGAAGGTGTCAATTCATATTTCGAGCAATTATCACGAAATTCGTGTGGAGTGACTGAGTAAATCCACAAATCTCCTCAACCGGAACAATAGTCGGTCAGGTCGAGATTCGAACGAGATCCCCCAAGGAATAAAAGTCAGAAGGGTTACCGTCTGAGCCAGCGCACTCTTCTCTCTCACGCACGGACCTCATAGATCAGTCACACAACTTCCAGAGTCGTGAGATGAGAGTATGCAAGAAGACGAGGAGGGGGATGAGAACATATAAACGAACGGGGGGGGAGCAAAAGAAAACAGTNAGCAAAAGAAAACAGTTGTAAATAAATAAATCAGACTAAAATGACACAGATTTAGTACAGCTACACATATTAATATACGTGACGTGATGAGAGAACATACTACATCAAAATGACACTCAACTAAATAACATCAGTCGCATCTTCTGACTGGCACAAGACCAGGGGAACCTGCACATGTTGGGCCCAGTACTGCTGCCTTGGGGCACGCGGTAGCGTAGTTCGTTGAGTCACTATACTATAAGCCGGAAGGTCGTGGGTTCGATTCCCAAATGTCATTGGATTTTTTTCAATTGACCTAATCCTTCCAGCTTCATTATGGCCCTTGGGTCGACTCAGCCTCTAACAGAAATGAGTACCAGGAATTTTCCTGGGGAGTAAAGAGCGACCGGCACATTAGCCTGACCTCACAGACATCTGTGAGCCGAGTGTATTGAGAATATGGGAGCCTCGACGTCTCACAACCCGATGGGCCAGGGACAGATATTTTTTTACTGATGTCTCATGGTAGTTGTACTGACAACTGCTGTATCTGGAATGGAGTTTGCATTAATTTCTCGGGGCACTATGTGGCAAAGCTGTACATGATAACAGTATCTAGAGGTAACCGCAGATGTGTTGTGGCGGGGGGGGGGCGTTTTAATGAGGTGTAACAGATGCAGAGCGGTACAGGTGCCTGCAGTGGGACCACAAAGCAAGCTCCATTAAATTACACTTAACAATGTTTGACTTTGTACTTCTGGATGGCAGCAGGATCGGTCGCTACTCTCGCTTTTGTTTGTTAGGGGACGCAGGCTTGCGTGGCAGGATAATATTAAAATCGAATACTATTGACTTCTTGGATAGGGTAAGAAACGCTAGTACGATTACCGTGGTTACCTTTCTTAACTACTGTTAACACAATCACAGCATTTCGGTTCTGGTTCCATCATTCTCGCCTCAAGGTCGTCCGTCCGCCATATTATTACCGATTTACACGTAAAGTTGTTCCTGTGCTTAATTAAGCACTGTCATGAAGATATATGAAGTGGAGGTATACCTCCACAAATTTTGTCCTTGGAACTAGACAGAGGTGAGTGGTCAGCTTCACGTCTCGGCCGCTTTTCACCCGAGGAAATCGCCCCAGGCTCCCAATTGATAGGAGGCTGGATGGGCCCCATAGCCTGTCTGGACACTAAGAACCCTTACCGTGAATC